CGAAAAAATAGCTATTATCATATTCTAATATGTGCCACATGCTCCAAAACATGGATAAAGTTGTATGTGTTTAAATTTACCTCTACAATTGCCAATAAGATGACATCAACACATATGATCATGCAATACCAAAGTAAGTCGTCTCCCATTTGGCAGTGCTTAAAAGATAAATTAATATTATGAGTGTTTGGGGACACTTCTCGACAGATATGGTCCCTCAGATATATAAAAGTGTTGAGCTTCATCATGCTTGTCCGGTGGTAGCTCCCAATTTGACATGTTTTCGCTTGTTCTGCAACATTTACTATGTCCGGCATATCCGATCATGAGTGTCAATTGGACCCTGATTTGTAACTTACACATCAACCTCATTAACAATTAATTTAAGCAGCTCCAGAACTTCAAGTAACTGGCTTAAAAATGAAATAATCTTGACGGTGTTTAGTAGCGTTTTTCTCTTTGTAGCTGCTGAATTGCAATCTCACAATTAGTTATATTGGATAAGTTCGTCATACAGAAAATTTGAATCGCAAATAGGAACTCATACAAGATAATTTGCATCACCATCATGATAATTTATAGGACACATACAAAATAGGAATTATTCATTGAATCATAGTATCACAAATCACACAACTAAAATAGTTTAAACAACAAAAATGTGATGTATAAGTTCAACAATGATACAAGCTGAGAATTGAGATTAGTAGATGCACGATGTACTGATGTGTTAAACCTTGGGTCCGTGGTTAGTTCCCGTCAGTTGGATCCGGAACATTTGACAAGTGAAGAGGGCGGCCGTGTATGAATAGGATCGGGAGCTGCGAGGCAGGGAGAGCAGAGGCATGAGCAGGAGTCTTGAAATATATTAACCGCCTCTCCTTAAATGTTTAATCTTTTTGGGTGAGTTGCCTGGAACATGATTTAAATACCATGGAGTACTAACTCGAAAGATTATGAAATACCTCCATCCAATGGGCAAAAAGGTAATCACATAGCAAAAGTAAAAAAAATGATGTCCTTTGGGAAATGAAGGGTTTACCCTTTTATAAGGATAACTAGATCTACCCGGTACTCTATTGTATGCTTTAGAAGTACCATGATGTATGCCTTAGAATTATCGCAACATTGTAAAAGAGCTCAAATTTGCAGCATCTAAATGTATCACGACCATGTCACAATCCCTAAACAGTTACTCATGTAGCATAAATCCACTGTCAACCACCATGCAATGCATCAAAAGGGCAACTTGTGTAATAAAAATTGCGCTTTTAAGGCGAAAGAGCAACCTGTGTAATAGGAATCTTACATCAACACTAACAATCTTCTGAATTCGGCGTGAAGTGAACCTTCACGAGCGAATGCATCCCCTTGATTTTGTTTGCAAGTGCAATCTTGTACCTTGGTTTCCATGGGTATCTGGACAGCTATTGAATCACGAGGTGGCATCTCCCGCAAACTTTCTTGTCATACGGGTATATGTCTTCGAGACCCACGGATACTTCCATGACACTCCAAATGTAGCTAATGAACTTCTCTTCTGATTGAAACCCATAGATCCTGACCACGGCCGGCTTGTGGTGCTTGAATCCAGATGCATATTCTGCGTCCAACTCTAATCCCTTCGTCCTTCTTCTCAT